GCAGTGGCAATCAATCGCACATGAGCAACAGTTCATGAGCGGAAAGGCAAAGAGCCGCTAACAATATGTGTTTTCGACCTGGTTATGACATCCTTGCGTACTTGGCACCGCGTGCGACTGTTCTCTGTCCTGCACAGTGTTTGATATGATTAACATTAGTAGAAAGGTCAATATTCATATATTGTAATAAAAATCGAATAACATGCATAACCATTGTGTTCTGGGTTTGCTTTGCACTGCAGTGTGCCAAATGTGATGCCGAAGACCAGCTTTCTGTAGTTGATCAAGGTTGCTATTTAAACCACAATACACGGCATTTTCAAACGCACAAACATGGCTACAAGCTATTCTTCCTCATAATTATTTGAACTCTTCTATGATTATTATTGCATCCGGATTGAACACTTTTTCTTAATAGTTTTCTGCAGTTCATACATTGAAATGATTTTGCAGAAGAAGTTTTCGTCTAAACAAATCTCTCCCTTTTCTGATTTAACAACGTGATTTTCTGTTTATCCAAAGGTGTTTTAAACTTTTGTTCTTTAAAACTTTGATGAAAATTTAAAGAAACTTTTTGGAAGGATCTGAGCATATGAGTAGCAGAGATGAGGCTAATAAACGGTTGTTTCCAGCGAAACACAAACTTCGCTACTCACATAATGAAAAGCGTACAGCGGCAAAGTAGTCAGATTGCGATCGCGCATTACTCCGTACGTATATCCATACACACCGAAGCATTTCCTTCGGTAGTGGCAAAGCTGACTAATTGCCAAAGATTCAAATCCAGGGCAATCCGATGGTTTTTTGTGCCTCTGAGGTCCACAAATTAACACTGTTTAGGGTGAAAGAATCGAGAAACTGTACACCGTGTTAACGTAGTAATGACAAATATTGCCTTCAGGGCACTGCTGGTCGATCGTATCAACAATTCATTACAAGCTCCGTAAAAAAATGCCTCATACAGATGTCTAACCAGACATCCCAGCAGTAATCCCTTTCAATTTCCATTTTTATGTTTTATATTATTATTGCGATGTAGGGAAAGATTCACCATGATCTTAAAGCAATCGACTGACCAGAAAAACTGAACATAAAAAATGGCGTTTCTTCGTATACCTTCAGGTAAGATGTTCCAAAGTAGACATGTTGACTTAATACCCAGGCTGTAAGATGAGAACTTCTCGAGAAAAGGAGTATAATATTTAGTTTACTTTCTGTGGATAGACAAAAGCATCTGCAAGTCTGGGATTTTAATACTTTGACGAAAATTGAAAACAGTCTTTCACTAATTATAATGGCAGAATAATTTAAGCACCATTTTGAGAAAAAATAACTTCGACTGTATTTAATATAGAGTACAGATAAATATGGGGTCTTCTCTCCAGTGGATTCCCTTGCATTTTTATCATTTGCATTTTCGTCTAGTTTAAAACTGTACTATCATTTTCAC